TTCCCTCCCTTTCTCTCCTTGTGCTCCTCTCAGCCTTCCTATAAAATATTGGTATAGCACCAACTCTGTAAGACATGAGGCATAAGTTAGTGAAAAAGACTGACATGGCCCATGTCCACCTGAGCTTTCAGACCTCTGGGGAAGTTTCTACATTTGGGTAAAGGAGGTGTTAGGGAAGCTTTTCTTAAATAAATTAGATTTCCCCACCCTTCAGCTCTAACTTAAAATTTCAATGTTATCCCAGACATCTCACTTTTAAAACTTCATTTTGGATATTATTTCCTAAATACCTTCTCTTTGTTCTCAATTCCACTTGCAAACATATCGCAGCAGTTAGGTTGGGTTTACTGTGTTGTCTACATTCATAACAACTGAGTATTTGTATCATAGCACTGACAAAAATAAATTAAAAATGAATAAATGTTGACATTTGCTTTCTTAGAAGAGTTCAAAACCTCTGGAGAGGCCATCCTTATTCATTTTTATAAATGAAGGTTTCAGTATGGTGCCTAACATAATAGTATGCACTCATTAAATGCTTTCCAGAGCTGAAATAGTAATCAACCACTCCGTAAGGTCCTTCAAACCTATCCAAGCAAGCCATCTTTCCTTTAATGTTTTGATATCTTGTCAGTCATTTGTTCCATCAATATTTATTGACTATTTACTATAAATCAATTAGAGTGGTAGACACTGAACAAGATTATTAAATTCTTTGCACCATTGAATTTACTTCTTTTCTAGGTTGGCCAGTCTATAAACATTAGAAACTCCTCTATTGGCTATTAATATTTTAGGAAATAATAACATTTTCATCATCAACTCTATAATAACTGCTCATTTACATAGATCAGAGTTTTAAAGTTCCTGATTTTGTCCTGGATTTCCCATAAGAATTGTCATTGTAGAGCCTGAATACAAATAATAAAAATGAAACAATACTATGAAAGAGAATAAAATTGAGGGTACAAGAGAAATATACAGTATAACAAAAACTACATCAATTTCATTTTTTTACTATAAGATTGAATTTTATGATTTTATTTTGCTTTAAAGTTTTGTTTATTTATGCATACAAGAACTGGAGTGTAAATCAGAGGTGAGAGGATACACCAGAGAGAGTGGGGAGCAGAACAAGCAGATCTACTGAAATACACTGCTGAGGGGAGAAGTGGGCGAGACAGAAGAAGTCTGCTGCACCATGTGGGTTGCTTCCTGGCTGGCTAGGAATTGAACTAGTACTGCAGTGCCTGGCGATAGCTTGATAGAGCTGTCTATAACCCCTGCACCACCAGGGAGGCCCTGTTTTATTGTTTTGAATAGACAGAGTAGTTACTGAATGGACTCTATTCCTAGCTCTAAAGAAGTCTCCCCAATGCCACACAATGTCCCTTGTGAAAATGTTCCAAGTTTTTCCCTGCTGAGAACATGACTTTGTTCTCATTAAGTATTCCCCACCACAAGTGTACATGCTAAACATAACTTTGGAAAATGAATCAAGGAGACTTCTAATGTGGGCCTTTAATCAATGACCAATTCATTAATAAAAATTCATGGTAGTCATTAGCAATATCAGTCTCTCTGGTCCTGCAGACTTGGTATCCAAGTCTCTATAGGTGTGGGTTTGTCAGCATATCTGTCACCTGCCTTGATTGCAGGAAACTTCAATGATAAGATCAATTTCCCTGAGGGGTGAGTATGGGGCTTCCCTACAGCAACAAGTGATACTTGTACAGCAGGTTGTCTAAGAATTCAACTAAATTCTGCTTACTTCTACCAAGATCTACCCAGAAGTAGTAACAGATTCCACAGGATACTCTATGTATCACAGTGGCATATCACAGGGCTCAGTGTCCCAAGATCACTCTATACTTCATAGGCTGGTCACAGGCCCAGGCTACCACCTGTGCTTCTGACCAAAAGTACAGACTGCAGGCTCCCATGATCCCTTCCTCAGACTTCAGGTGCCCATTGCAAGCTCAGATTATCATCTTTGCTTCTGACTGACTTGTTAATTAGAGGTTCCCAAGATGCCCTCCCCAGGTTAGATTAATTTGTTAGGAAGCTCACAGAACTCAGAGAACTCATTTACTGACCAGGTTACTGATTTATTGCATAGGTTACTAAAAATACAAATCTGCAATCAAATGGAAGAGATGCAAGGAATGCAGGAAAAGCAAGGAACTTGAATGTCCTCTCTAGGCATACCATTCACCTCAAATCTTCACATGTTCACCAACCCAAAAGCTCCCAAAATCCCTCTTTTGGGCTTTTATGGCTACTTAATTATTAGATATGATTAACCCATTGGTAATTGGCAATTAACCTCAACCTCTAGCCCCTCTCCCTTTTCCCCTCTCTCCCTCTCTGAGGTTAGGCAATTCGGACTGGTAGTTCCAACACTCTAATCACCCTAGTAAACAGTTCCCACCCTCAGGTGTTTTACAAAAGTTACCCTAACATAGCAAGAAATACGTTCATAACTCACAACACTTAGGAAACTTCAAGGTTTTGGGGCATTGTAAGCCAAGAACTGTGGATTAAGATACAATATGAATCAATAATATAACTTGATCATCTGAATGATGAAATACGTGTACTGCCTATAAATTACAATGTCACATTACCCCTGCCTGGTAAATTCTTTGCAACAAACTGTTCCCTATCTTCAAATCCCACTTTTGAAAGAAGTGTTACAGGGCGTTGAGAAGTATCAAATATTTGAAACAAATGGTGCAGTAAATGTTAGTCTCTTTCTTCTCCATAGCTCATTTCTAGGAAGATAGTAAAACTAGTGGGATGGAGTACATAGGTAGTTAGCCTATGGGAGCAAGTATACCTTCATGAAAAATTTTATGAGGTCTCCCTGGTGGCGCAAGGGGTTAAGACACAACCTATGAAGCTACCCTCAGCCTCTGCAGCATGAGCTCTATCCCAGGCACGAGTTCAATGCCCCACTGGCCAGGGAGCAACCCACATGGCGCAGCAGACCTCTCCTGACTCCCCCACTGCTCCCCTCAGCAGTGTACTTCGGTCAGTCTACCTGTTCTGTTCCCCGCTCTGTCTCTGATGAATCCTTTCAAACCCCCCCCCCCAATCTCTGGCCTGTACCCCAGCTCTTGTATGCATAAATAAATAAATCTTAAAAAAAAGTTTTATGAGAAGCAACGGCCTGATCTTTTCTTCCTAGATCATATTTAGTGCTTCCATTCCATGGAAAAAAAATTCCTCTATTTATGAAATTAAAAAAAACTGCTTCTAGTAAATAATTTTCCTTTAAAAAATCTGATTCTAGTACATAATCTTCCTTCATCATAATATAGCTCCCTAAATTCCTAAACACTTATTAGAAAACACAAGATTTAAGTCAAATAAATGGATTTTCTGAGAACAGAATTGAATATTCTAATAGAAGAGTAAGATTATTTTGTGTTTAGGTTTTGTTTGTTTGTTTTCAGCTTCATATATTTAGAAAAATCTCTCAGATGAGTATCCAAGTAATAATGGCCAGGGATGTTTCATGTGATAAATTGGTAAAATATTCATTACTGGGGAATAGACTTAATGAAAGATTTTGTGAGCAAGACACTATGTGGTAGAGTCTAATATGGATAAATTAAATCTTCTACTTGGAAATATACTAATAAAAGCAATGAATTAAACATCAGGACTAAGAGATTTAGGCTTATTAATATGGTATAACTCTATTTAGCAAACCTTAATTTGCAGAACACTGATACTACTGATGAAATTAATAAGGAGAAAAAGTGCATCCAGCAAAATCCAAATGTATAAAATATTAAACTTTAAAATTTAATAAAGATATAGTACAATATTAAAAGTTGGAAGGGAAAGAAACTTGATAATTTTAAATAGGTGAACAGTATTGCTATAGGCACTATAGGGAAGCATGTTACCAATGTTAAATTGGCAATTCTGTTTTGCAGGCTATCAGCAAGAATGAGTTCTCAGAAAGAAAAATATCTCATTTATCTCTTGAAGTTTTGATATTTTAGATAGTGCATTTCAAAGCCAGGTAGGAACGAGGCTTATACAGGTATTGACTACCAACAAAGAATTGAACAGTTTCACAACAAATTGAAGACAGGAGTGATAAATGTGTTGTTTTCCTTTTTTTTATTCAGTCAACACAACAATTCTTTGTTATGCTGGAGGTTTAATAAAATATACAGTAGACTACTGAATGCCTTTCAAATGTCAGGCACTGTTCTAGTTACTAGGATGTATTATCCATGTATTTAGCTATTAGTGAACAAGTATTCAAGGGTGACAAACATAGGACAATAAATAAAGTAAAAAGTGATAAAAGAGACAAAAATGGTGTGAAGAACAATAGGGTATGCATGGTTGAGGAGTATCTGTATCAGATTATTTTTCTGTGACTATATGCATATAGGAACAACAAGTCCAAACTTTTTTTTTTTTTCTAATTTTTTTTTTTTATAGAGGCATGTTTTTATTTATTTATTATTTATTTGTTTGTTTTTTTTTTTTTTGTTTATACATGCACTGGGTACAGTCAGAAGCACGGGAGGGTGAGAGAATTCACCAGAGCCAGAGCGGGGAGCAGAACAGGCAGAAGGACCGAAGTACACTGCTGAGGGGAGCAGCGGGCGGCAGGAGAGGTCTGCGCGCCATGTGGGACCCTCCTCCGGTGGCCGGGGAGCAGCCGGGGATCGAACCGGCGCCGCAGAGGCCGACAAGTCCAAACTTTTGATTAGTAGAGATGATTACTCCCACATTACTGGGTCTTAAGCAGATCAATTTGGAAGGAATTTGCCTGTTTCTCTAAATACCTCAATAGGATTTAGGTAAATGTGATACTGACAAATCATTAAAATATTCCAAAAGTTCATTTCTAGAAAATACTAAGCTCGCAATGGCTATTCTTATACAAATTAATGCACATGCTTTTTTTTTTTCCCAGAATGATCCCCACTGGAGCTTCTTTTTAGGAACCCAATTTGAAACTGTTATATTGTTTTCAATAAAAGCATCATTCACTAGTTTCTAAACAGACCAGGTGAGGAAATGTTACAACTTTTATGCATTTTTCAAGTCAGACAGTAGCTTTGGTGTTTTGTTTTTTCTTTGTTATTTTTCCTGTTGTTATTAATAAAGAGAATGGCTTTAGTTTTAGAAAAATTAGTTTGAATGAAAAGATACCATTCAAAAAAGTTGAAGAGGTGGGACAAGCAAGAATGATAAAGTTGGAGGTCTCATTCTGGAACTTGCACATTTGCATAGATGTATATTGGAAAAAAAGGGAAGTCTTAGGTTTTGTGGGCATTAGAAACAATTTTAAAAAGATTCTGGGAGGGGGCCTCCCCGGAGGTCTAGAGGTTAAGTCTCAGCGCTGTCACCACTGCAGCCTGAGTTTGATTCCCAGCTAGGATGTTAACCCACATAGTGCAGCAGACATTTCCTGTCTTACCCTCAGCACTGCTTCCCTCAGTAGCGTATTTCAGTAAATCTGCCTGTTCTGCTCCCCACTCTGTCTCTGGTGAATCCTCTCACCCCCATACCTCTGGCCTACACCCCAGTTCTTGTACAAATAAATAAATATATCTTTTTTAAAAATTAAAACAATAAAAAGACTCTGGGAGTGGCCAGTGCCAATTTCAGGAGAATTCATGATGAATAAATCACAACAAGAAGAAAATGACCATGGAGATCACTTTTTAGAGAAGTCAGATATACAGATCAGAAAATGCAGTGAAAAATAGCCAACTGATTCAACATCATGCATCTATTTTATATATACATTACAAAACTTTTTAACATTACTGAAATTGGCATAACTATATACATTATAATAGGCATAACTAGTAATACATTATTATAGGGTTTTTTTAGTGAAATATAAAATGATGATGGGTCTCATACTGATGGGTTTCATTAGATTTCATTAAATAACTGTCCCTTATATGGTGAAAATGAACAACTATTTGGGAAACTTTGAGCAAGATAATTACCGTAAAGAGACTGAGAGTCTCTGTGTTTAAAATGGGAATAATATCATAGCAACTCATGGAATAGGCAGGCCAAATAAGATAAATTAAGTAAAAGTGCTTTGTGAAATTCAAAAGGTGACAAGCATGTAGAGATATAATCATCATCATTATTAGTCTTTGACTAGCGAGGTCTTGCTGTTTGGCTAGAGGGCACAGAGTATTCAAACAGGGAAAACTCATTTGATTGTTCTGAAATTATATAAAGACATCTATCAGCCATAGCTCATCCTATAAGACACAACAGAATATAGGTCCAACACAAACAAAAAAACCAAACAATGTTTATTTTCCAAATATGAAGATGAGTATTAAGATGTCAATGTTAACTCTTAAATATGACCCTTTGATAATAGTATGCCAAGTCCGAGCATGTCCAGGCATTTGAATGATCTAATTAGAATCATTTTTATTAAATTTAAAAATATCTTCTAAAGTAACACTTTTCTTTTTGTTATGTAGTAGTCCTTCCTGGATGTTTGTTCATGAAATATAATGGAAATTCCATTTCCTCCCAATTCCCTTGCATTATCCAAGGAAGAGAACAATCACTTCAAACATAGTCTTGTCACCTGTCAGAATCTCGTACTGCCTGAAGATGCAGCATAGGAGATAAAGAATCTGACCCTACAGTTCCCAACATCAAAATGGATTGAATGATTGCAGGCACAAAAAACAGAATTAAGAAGCCTTACTAGGAGACAGTGTTACCTTGTGACCTTAGGCAATCCACTTAATCTCTCTCCTTCTCTTAGACACCCAATCTGTAAAACAAGATTTATGATTTCTGCCAGTACCTGTGGTGATGAAGCCACAATGCATATATTTCAGTTGGCCAGAACCTAAACTGCAAATACACTCACTTAAAGAACTAGAAATATGGTTAAAATCAAATCATATAAAAATAAATATGCTGAATATTTGTTGATATAATTAGGTTTACCAAAAATAATTGTTATTATTTCCAATAACTTCCCCCCCCCAAAAAAAAAAAAAACAGAAGAAATACAGGCAGAGACTAGACCAAGTAAGGATGAGAACTTACTAAGGTGGTAAATACCTCCCTCTGATGATTAAAGCACATATAAGTAAATATCAGAAATAGAGTCAACACTGACAATATATATGAGCTCAAATGAATGAAATGTACCCATTTGGGTCCTTTGTCAGTACAGAATCAAGAGACATTGCTGTTGTAATAGGAGATGATTTTCTGTTATGTTTGCTTCCTTTATCTTAAAATTTCTAAATATTTCCTGATATAAAACCTGGCACTTTCCAATTACTCTTACACATAAGAGAAAACAAACAGGGTGCTGTTTACTGGAAATTCCTAATAAACTTTTCTTTTGATGGTCACTTCATATTCTTAGAGATTTCAGATGTGGCTAATAGAAGGTGAAGGTCATTTCAATTCCTCACTCACTGCCAGGAAAGGTCTTTCTCTTCCACTTTCTCTATGTAAGGATCCACCATTAATCTCTTTATATTTCTTAGAATATTGAGAAATGTCAAATACAATATATGGCAGAGTCTTTTAAAAGAAATCTCTATTTTCATCATAGACATATAAAAACATTGATCGTGGAGTTTCCTGAACAGAATTATCTTTGTCCAGGGTCTTTTTTGTTCAATTCTGCATGGATTTCTCATTGCCAGATAGCCTCCCTAAAATATCAATTCTACTAAGTCACTTTCTAGCCCCAAAATCTTTTTTCTCTACATTGAATAGGGTCAAAATTTATTTCCCATTCATCATCCACTCTTATCTCAGTCCAGTCTTCCCTCCCAAGGGCATTTCTCTAGTGTGCTGTGAGGTGTAACCACCATATCAGACAGACCCATGTGACCCAGACAGAACAGCTGCTGCATTTTGGGGCACTTATGTGCTTATTTCTCACCTAATCCTAAGAATAAAGTGTCTCCATTTTAAAGTAAAGGAACTGAAACTTTAAAAAACAGAAGCAATTTCTTGCTTTATATGAGTTTATATAACTCTTATTCAGTAGAACAAATATGGATATGATGACAAAATGTGTAATTCTCTTTACCAAACTAATCACAGTCAACAGAACACCATATATTTTTCTTTTGATCATGCTTTGTGCAGAGAAAATGTTTTACTTCAGTGCCATGGTCCATCCAAACCTCACTCTTCAGTTCCAATCATAACTTTCTGCAGATAAGCAAAGCTGTACACCTCTGTCCTTGACTGTCAGTTCCTTTAAAGCAGAAATTATAGACAGCAGGTCCTTAAATTACATTATTTTTCTCAATATTGTTTCATTATAAAGTTGAAGAAGGAAATAAAATGGACAATGTTGAATGAAACATTATTTGAGAACCTGCTTTCAATATACATCCTTTTGCTTAAAGTCACAGTTTCCAAGAGTCTACTGATGAAGTTAAGGGAGGACTCACTGTGCTTACAAGTGTTGACACAGGGAACCTAATTCAATCTTGTAATGTCACCAGCTCTCTGACCTCTCTGACCTTTGTTTCCTTTTATGGACATTATTGCTTTTTGCTCTCCCATATTCATCCTCGCTTTAACAGAAGGACCTTAATTTCTTTTCTGGATAACTCACCCCTGTGTGACTCTTAAATTGCTGTTCTTGGATGCAGTTGACACCACCCTCTGGACAAATTGTGAAGAAGAGGCTGAGATCTGTTTCATGATAACATACACTTTCCCTGAGCACCGTGACTCACTCAGGAATAGACATGTGCATAGTTAGAGCCAACAAAATCTAATGAGACTTCTATATGTAGCGAGGTGATTACAAACTTTCATAGGACTGTGACTATTGGTATTGGCCTGGAACCTACCTGTGCTCTCTGCCTGAGACTGATAATAAAAGATGGAACTTACATACAGATGAAAACTTAAATGATAACACAATTTGAGCCCCGGGAACAAGCTTCATCTGAAGCTAGCCTCTGAATTTTTAATTACCAGAGTCAATACTTTCCTTGTTAGGGGCCAGTTTGCATTTGGTTTTCTAACTCCTACACTGAAGACCTAGACTAAGAGTTAGCAGGTGGAATGATTATGGCAAAGACGATGGCCTAAATATTTACTATCTCGTCCTTTATAAAGAAAAGTTGTTGACTCATGATAATAACTTCATAAAGAATGCATATGCATTTTTTGGTTTTCTTTTCCCAAATAGATTTTAAAAGGATCCTTTTAAAGAAATCTCTTAAAGATTCCCTTTGGCAGGAATCTAAATTTCTTTTTTTTTTTTTTTATAGAGGCATGTTTTATTTATTTGTTTGCTGGTTTGTTTGTTTGTTTTGTTTATACATGCACTGGGCACAGTCAGAAGCGCAGGAGGGTGAGAGAATTCACCAGAGCCAGAGCGGGGAGCAGAGCAGGCAGGCAGAAGGACCGAAGCACACTGCTGAGGGGAGCAGCGGGCGGCAGGAGAGGTCTGCACGCCATGTGGGACCCTCCTCCGGTGGACGGGGAGCAGCCAGGGATCGAACCGGCGCCGCAGAGGCCGCGCGCAGTTTCGCAACCCAGCGCTCAACCGCTGCGCCACCGGGGAGGCCCAGGAATCTAAATTTCTATTATTTGAGAATACCCCCACACTTTTTTCCCCCTTGCTACCATAATAATGCTTAACATTGTTAATAAGCATTGTATGAATTAAATGCATATTTATGAAGCTGTGCTTTTCAAAGTGGGGTCTGTGTCCAGAGGCCACACTGCGAATAATTTCTAATTTTAGAATTAAGGAAAAGTATTAGAAAGTTTAACAGTGCTTTAATGTTAACTAATTTAACATTTAATATTAATAGCAATTTGATATTTCTTTAGCTCCTAGTGTGAGATTATTTTTTCTTTTAATAATTAATTTTGTTTCATTTTACAAAAGTATTATTTTTTTGTAGTATAATGTGGGATAGGAACTAGTTCTTCAACATAGACAATTAGCAACTCACTTTGTTAAATACAATGGTACCTAGATTTTGATTTTATTTGCCTGTGGATTTTTCTCAACATCTATATCAATGTCAAACAATAGGCAGTCATTCTTATTTACTAAATAAAGTTACAAAGCAGCTGCAAAATAACAGAAAGGCTTGTGCCTGTGTTATCTTCACTTGATACTGTAGGAAAAATGGATGTTCGTTTCCCAACACAAGAGGTCCAGTTTTCTTTCAGAGATTTATTTCTTCTTTGGGCAGTATCAGTGTTCACAGCTATGCCATCCACCCTCCATCTCACCCCAATTCACATAGTTTGGGTGGGGCATTGTTACCTGTGTTTTGGGTACATGACCTAATAGAGAGCTACACAGCCATCAAGGATTAAATTTCCTTTGTTGTACTGATTGGCTCTCCTGTGGGCTGGTGAATGAACCCTGAAATTAGAGCTTCTGTTTTGACTACTTGAATTAAGAATCTGAATTTTATTTTAATGTTGGTGATGCTACATTTTCTATTTGTTGAATCCCAAGGTGTAGAGCCCCAGGAAGTGTGGTTGGTCTTACTAGAACAAGAGGGGAGGGACTCTAAGGGAATAAAAGAACCATCTGGAAGTGAGCAGCATTTAGTTAGGCGAGAAACAGAGTCCTGTCAACATGTCTGAAGCTCCTAAAAAAGTCTCCATCTGAAGCCCACCCTGGCTACAGTGCACTCTAAATCCTTTTTGTGTGTTTGCTTTCTCTCCGCTGTTGGGTTCTATAACGTAAAAAATTCAAGAGAGAGACCTGATCCAGATGCAGAGTTTGAATTCACATTCAAGTTAGTATTTCTTAATAATTAACTACTTCTGCTGAAATAAAATTAAGGTTAGAAACCTAGAATGTCAATCCTTTCTAAATGGTTGAGTTGGTAAAGATGAAAGAGTAAAACTGTTGTTCCCCCAACACACACATATGTGAGAAGAGTCTATAAGACAAGTTCAATGCATAATATATGATTAGCACCAAAAATTCCTGAAGACCTTGGAAAAAGTGGAACAATATTGAAGTGCTAATTTTGCCTCTTCTAGCCAGTTAAACATATTTTTAAAAGTGTGGTTAATCTTCTTTATTGTCTGACCTAATAGGGTTAGAGTCTACTGGAGTTCTTGAAATCTCAGAATAATAGGTAAGTTTAATGATAAGTTCTAACAAATTTGACTTGATATTGAATAGAAAGAGCTTTGAGGGAGCCAAAATTTTTCATCATAATGATCACAAATGAACATTTACTGAATTTGATTTCACACTTGCCCATAAAATCTTTCTATGTTTACTTGTATGTTAAAGGATATAAATATATTCATAACTTCTTATGTTCTGGATAATTTTCCATTTTCTAAGTGGTGACTTTTATAGCCAAATGTCTTAATGACTATAGATATACCAAAAAAGTGGATATTATTATTAGACCCATATTATGGAGATATAAATAAAGCACAGAAAAATTAAGTAAGGTCTTTAGCTGATAAGGTATTTGAATTCAATTAGTCTGGCTGGTAGTTTCTTTCTTAAGAATCTTACTATCCCATCTTTACCACTTGTATGAAATGCATTATTCACTTTACTTTCTTAGAAATAAGTATAATCAAATTATTTTGGGAAAAATAGTTGCTGTCTTACCACCGAGCTGTATAATTCTATTCATTCTATGGGGATTCCTTGTCAGAGTTACTCTCCAAATTTACTGTAATACTAAGGGAAAACAGAAACATGAACTTAAAGATTTTTTAATTCAAAGTTGTGTTAACTAAGTAGCTGTTCTGCAAGCATTCAGAATTTAATTGAGAATTTTAGTGCTTGTTTGGGTGGTTTTTATGTTATTATTTATTTGCTAATATATACATAATAGAGTTGCATTTCATTGATTTAGAAAAAGAGAGAATGAAAGACAATATGGATCAATAAGTAGATTTGGATAATAATGAGTTTCTAGCAATGGACAAAGTCTCAAGTCAGAATATCTTTTGCAAGTTCTCACTCATAAACATGAAGAAACCTTTTCAGCTGAAAAAGTTCCCAAGTACTTGACAGATAAAAGCTGAGTCCCTTGGAAGTTATTACACAATTACTTGACTGCTGACATTAAATATTTTAGGGCATCTGTGTTTGAAGGAACACACATACACACACACACAGAGAGAGAGAGAGAGAGAAAGAGAGAGAGAGAGAGAGAGAGAGAGAGAAAGAGAGCAGTAACTATTGTTTTGTCTTTTTTATGTCCTCAGGATATTTATAGAAGCATAGAGCCAAAACACGGTTGTCCACCCCAAACCCTGCTAATCAATGCAAGCAATCCACTGTCTCTGATCTTGACAAATTGGCTCTGGAAAATAGCCCTTGTCAGCAATGTTACCTTTTAACAGGATGGGTGATACAGACTTCTTGAATCTCTTACAGAAATTTGGCCCACAGCCCATAGTACAAATTGACAATCTTCTAGCAGTTTCTAACTATAAAGTGGTTTGAGACTTAATTTTGTAACTGCACACTAAAGCTCAGTTCGTTTCTAATATGATTCTCAGGAAGTCCGAAATCCTCATCTTACAGGTGTTTATATATTCATCTCAAAGCAAAATTGTTAACTCAGCAGTATGGCTTAGCACATAAATCCTCAAAAGCCAGACAACTCAACATCACTGCTCCCAGAGCAATTATAACTTAGCCCCTTGCACTTACATAGCTTTTTATTTGATTAGATATAATCTGATCTGGTTCCCGCCCCCCCCCCCAATGTTTACATGAAACACATTTCTTCAAATGGAAAGATCTGGCCAGCTTTGAATTTGCTTTTACCAGCATTTGCTAAGACTGAGTTGGCCAACAATTTTTTTAAAGCCATGTGTTTGATAAGGAAGATATAAAGAGATTTTAAAGCTATAAATTCAATCTGGTAAAGAAAAAGGAAGTAGAAGAAAAAGTGGTACCAAATGCTTATAATTCTGTAGAACATTAAACAAAACAAACAAACTAAAAAAAACAAACCCTGTATTTTTGTGGGTCCTGAATCACCAACAAATACACTCATCAATGTTCTTCAAATTGATATAGAAAGTCACACAGATAGAGAGAAGAAAAGAATATCTGATCTTATTTTCAGAGATTCTGTTTCACTTAATCTGGAATGTGGCCATTAATTTACATTTTTTACATGTTCTTCAATTGATTCTGATATGGGTGGATTAAGTAACAAGTTTATGAGTCGTTTCTGATAGACACTAGTAAAATCATTCCTGTACTAAATTTACATTCACTGTACATAATATAGTAAATGAGCTTACAAATGTTGTGTGGTTATGTAAATATACGCATATATACATATACACAAGCATGTACCAATATAGAAAATGGAGTGCTACTTTGTTATATTCTAAAAATATTCTAGGATTCAGAAATACACATTCAAGTCTATCCAGTAATAAATAGTGTTCAGCATTACAAAATTTTTACACAATTGAGGTATATCACTTCTTATTTTGATAATAGGGCCTGTGTGCACAGCTATAGAATCTTGCCCCCCACCCACCACAGTTTAAAGGGTGAAATTAGAAAGCTCTCAGTGAAATAATTTATACATGAATATTACCTCTTGGCTTTCTGTGTTTTAAAAATGCATCACAAAGAAGAAATTTATTGTGTGAATCATCCCTGGGGAGAAAACATCAAATGTTTTACCTGTTAGGAATACAACAAAGTTTGTGACTAAGTAGACGTGTATCTTGTCAAGAAAGGTCAGAGATTTTTTTGGAGAAAAGTGATTGCTTATGGAATAAGAAATGCCACTTTTTGGGGGGTGGGGGGCGGGAGGGGAAGGATTGGGGTCAGAATGGGGCGTTTGCAATTGTATGGGGGAATATAAAAATAAAATTTAATATTTAAAAAAAAAAAAAAAAGAAAATTGAAAAAAAAAAAATAAAATCTTACACCACCACTTCACATTTATGTCAAGGATAAATGACTTACTTAAATCTCTCTGAGCTTCTCATCTTTAAAATGATGTATCAATAGTACCAGCCTCATAAGTCTATAATAAACATCAAATTGATACATTTATCAAAAAAAAAAAAAAAAAGAAATGCTTTTTTTTTTTTGGCTAAAGAATGCAGATCGTAGAATTTTACTACTGGCCAATAGTGATTTATAATTTTTGAAAATGAAATTGCATTCTCATGAGATATTATACACATTGAACAAAAAAGGAAAAGTCAAAAGTGGACAGCATTCTTTTGGCAATTGCTGTATAAACTCTACAAGACATTATAGTTTAGCTGATAAGTGCTAAGGGTAGTATTTTGCATAAATATTCCACAATATTGAATGTAATTTTTTCTGCCTGTAATTAGAGCTCTGATTTACTCAGAGAAAGAATAACTACTCTGAGATAATAATTAGAATGCATGTCTCATAATTGCAGAATATGTATGTAGTTTTTTGACATTAAAAAATTAAAGAAATAGGGGGCCTCCCCGGTGGCGCAGTGGTTGAGCGCTGGGTTGTGAAGCTGCCCATGGCCTCTGCGGGGCCGGTTTGATCCCCGGCTGCTCCCCGGCCACCAGAGGGTCCCACATGGCGCGCAGACCTCCCCTGCCACCTGCTGCTGCCCTCAGCAATATACTTCGGTCCTTCTGCCTGCTCTGCTCCCCGCTCTTGCTCTGGTGAATTCTCTCACCCTCCCGCGCTTCTGACTGTACCCAGTGTGTATATAAACAAACAAACAAACAAACAAATAAATAAAAACATGCCTCTATAAAAAAAAATTAAAGAAATATACACACACTCACATAATCCTACTTGAAATAATGCACACAATATTTTTAGATAAAATACTGGCTATGCACATGTGACTTTTAAGACTTCATTTGGATTAAACATGAATTTGTAAAATTTTGTACCTGCATGCACAACCTATAACTTTAGAACAGATGAGCTACTTGAAACTAAATTATTATTTGCAGAATTCTTGGAAATGTTTATTTTGTAATCTAAGAAAGGAATTTGGTCAATCCTCTGTATTTTATACACAGAGTGTTGGAAAGAGTGCTAACATTTGAATACTTTTGTGAGTCCTGTACACAATGCATTTCTTCTAATGGAACATTTAGAAAAATTTTTAGGTTTTTACCACTGTACATACTTTGCATGTTTTTTTCTGTTGGACCAAAGAATGAACAAATCCAAGTTTGGAGTATCTAAGCTAAGCCAATTGTAATTTCCTTTCAAAGTGAATGGATGTTAGAGATTCAGTGGCTAAAACCTCAAGTCTTCTGTGAAAACACAGATGTTCTGGTAAGTGCTTTGTACCATCATGTCATGCTGTATTTTCCTTTGCATGAAGAAAGGGAACAGAAACTATTTTTGATATATTTACAATGCTATCACTAACAAAACATGGAGGTAAGCTTTCTGTGATTTTCTTATTTGGAAACCCCTTTTTCTGAAATGATAATAAGCTAATTTTAGAGTAAACCCACCAATTCCAAGAATTGAGAACTCCCTCACACATCTCTTTATGATTTAACTTCTTCACTTTGCCTAATATTGGCATTACCACTATTACATAATCATATACTCTTATTCTTTTTTTAATTGCTTCTAGGAACTCCCTTCTCTATTGAATAATGTTATCCTAATGAATAATGAAGCACAACAGCTCTTTATAATTTATAATATGTGACTTTTTCCCCAATGTAAAATTAGGCAATTTGGAAAGTACTAAAACTTATATACAAATATAAAATCACTCCAACTTGCAACACTAGCACAAGGCTTTCCTTTTATCACTGCATTGGTACTTTTGATTGTCCCACCAGGTGGTTATATTTATTTATTTAATTTTTTATTTTTGTGGAGAAGAACTGGGATGTAGGCAGAGGTTTGGGGGTGGGGGTGAGAGCATTCACCAGAGACAGTGTGGAGAGCAGAACAGGTGGATTTACTGAAATATACTGTTAAGGGGATCGGTGGTTGAGACAGGAAAGGTCTGCTGTGCCACATGTGGTAGCTCCTTGGCTGGGGATCTAAGTCAGGCCTTAGAGATGATAATGCTGAGACTTCACACTTAGGCTACCAGGTAGGCCCCCAGGTGGTTATTAATGTTGATTTGCCACTAGTTGTTAAATGCTAAAATAAAGTACAAGTTGACCAAGGAGTGTTTAGTCATGAATTTGCTATTTAAAAAAAATGTCTTTGAGACAAGATCAATGGCTTTACATTGAAGAGATAGGTATTTGAATTCTGTTTTTTGAAGGTTAGAGGTTGCTGAACATATGATTTTTTTAGTCACAATGATTTTTTTTTTTTTTTTTGTGAACAAAGCAGTGAAATATCTAAGTAGTTGCATTTAATTTTTAACTCTTAGGATTAAATCAAATTATCAGGTGATCTGGCAAAGAGGAAGAACAGGTGGGAGAGACACAGGAGGAAGCAGAAGGAGAAGAGAAAGAATGATTCCTGAATATTATATAGACCACAATTGACTCATATTAGTTACTTGAGTAACCTTCCTTGGATATATTTTACCATAATGCCATATTGGATTATACAGGTGCTATATTTGTGTGAACTTTGAGAATTGAGCCCCTAACGTGACTACTCACCAAAATATGCTATCTTGTGAAAATAAGATTTTTGTGCTATATAAAATGTCAAAGTCTATTAAAAATTTAATCAGAAAGAAAGAAGGCAAGTAGGTTCTCTGCAAACATTAAGCATTGATATGAATAAAAATTATAATTTTTAGAAGGGGAGCAGATTTACCAACAACTTAAAAGCAGCAACCCAAATACAGCACTGGGTGTCCCCTGGTAGTCACAGAATAGTTTCAATCCTCAAATAGAGCCAAATTGTCAGCATGTCTGTTTACACAATATAACCTGACATGCTGTCCATCGGGGCAAGGGGTGACAGGCTGGAGACCTTGTCGGCTGAGCCTTGTCATGCTTTGCCAAATAAAACAAGGAGCTGCTCAACCTCAGAGACACAAAGGCTCTTTTGATTTAATTCCAAATCAGTTAAGCTCTTTGGCATAAAATAAACCTTTCGCAGACGTTCTCTAACAACGTTTGTTGTAAGCGTAATTCTCCACAAGACCTCAGTGAGCTTAAAAAGTATTTCTCAGTCTTTCCTGGAGGACTAGGCTTTTCTCTGAATCACTGGAAGGAAAACATACCTGCACTTGTAGACAGTTTTGCATTTGAAAGTAGTGAAGATAAGCCTATTTTCCCTCCTTCTTTTTAAAAACTTCAGGATGCTCTTTAAAGAATGCAATTGCTTCACTTCTAAAAGTGTTCTTTAAACAAATCCAAATAAAGGGATTCTAGAATGTAAGCAACTTTTATATATTGGGAAACTATGCAAATGAAGGGATTGGCAGCCTTTGCTCTAGCACAAAAGTGAAGGAAAGTCACCAGCCATGAAAACACAAGACAAAATGAACAACAAAGAGAAGGAAAGGCAGGGCGACAA